ATTTATTTTTTTTGAAACCGACTCTTGCTTCATTGTCAAGGCTGGAGTGCAGTGGTGCCATCTCAGCTCATTGTAACCTCCACCTCTTAGAATTCCTTGATTCTCCTGCCTCAGCCTCCCGAGTAGCTGGGATAGGCTGGTTTCAAACTCCTGACCTCAAGTGGTTTGCCTATCTTGGCCTCCCAAAGTGCTGGGATTACAGGTGTGAGCCACTATGCTTGATGCTTGGCCTATATTTTCTTTTCATACTTTTGTGAGTTGATTTTACTTTTTTACTTTTGTTACGGAAAATACCAGATAGATGTAAGGGTAAAGAGACTAGCACCCCATGTTTTTTTTTTTTAAAGCAGAGTCTTGCTGTGTCATACAGGCTGGAGTGGGAGTGCAGTGGTGTGATCTCGGCTCACTGCAACCTCTGCCTCCTGGGTTCAAGTGATTCTGCCTCAGCTTCCCGAGTACCTGGGACCACAGGTGTGTGCTACCTCACCCAGCCAATTTTTATATTTTTAGTAGAGACACAGTTTTGCCATGTTATCCAGACTGGTCTCAAACTCCTGACCTCAAGTGATCTTCCCGTCTTGGCCTCCCAAAGTGTTGGATTACAGGCGTGAGCCACCGCGTTCGGCCATATCCATTATTATTCAACAATCATCAACTCATGGCTACTCCTTTGTGTATATCCTTCATTCCACCTACTGAGTTCTTTTTTATTTTTTTATTCTTGTATATTTTTTAAAATCCACTTTTTATCTCTCTTCCTTAATACTGGGTTATTTTAAAGCAAGTCATACACAGCGTTATGCCATCCAGATGTATTCAGTATGTACCTCTAATAGACAATGACGTTTTTTTGGAGACAGGGTCTCACTTTGTTGGCCAGACTGGAGTGCAGTGGCGAAATTATAGCTCATTGCAACCTTGAAGTCCTGGGCTCAAGCAGTCCTCCTCAGCCTTCCAAGTAGCTGGGATTATAAGCGTGTGCTACCATACCTAGCTACTTTTAAAATTTTTAGTAGAGATGAGGTCTCGCTATGGTGCCTAGGCTGGTCTTGAGTTCTGGACTCAAGCCATCCTCCCACTTCATGCTCCCAAAGTGCTGAAATTACAGGTGTGAGCTACCGTGCGTGGCCCATAGGACTATTCTTAAAACATAAAAGTAGCTTTTAAAAAAATTTAAATTTTCAATATCTCTCAATATTTATGTATTTATTTCTTTGAAACAGAGTCTTGGTCTGTCATCCAGGCTGGAGTGCAGTGGCGTGATCTCAGCTCACTGCAACATCTGTCTCCTGGTTTCAGGTGATTCTTGCGCCTCAGTCTCCCGAGTAGCTGAGATTACAGGTGTGTGCCGTCACGCCTGGCTAATTTTTGTATTTTTAGTAGAGACAGAGTTTTGACATGTTGACCAGGCTGGTCTTGAACTCCTGGCCCCAAATGATCTGCCCGATTCAGCCTCCCAAAGTGCTGGGATTGCAGGCATGAGCCTCCATGCCTGGCCTCAAATTTTATTTTTGAGTATAGTATTATGTTAACCTTTTTATTTATTTATTTTTGAGACTGCATTTCATTCTTGTTGCCCAGGCTGGAGTGCAGTGGTGCAGTCTCGACTCACTACAATCTCTGCCTCTTGGTTCAAGCAATTCTCCTGCCTCAGCCTTACCAGTAGCTGGGATTACAGGGATGTGCCGTCATGCCTGGCAAATTTTGTGTTTTTAGTAGAGACGGGGTTTCTCCATGTTGGTTAGGCTAGTCTCGAACTCCTGACCTCAGGTGATCTGCCTGCCTCGGCCTCCCAAAGTGCTGGGATTACAGGCATGAGCCACTGTGCCCAGCCTATGTTAACCTTTTTAAATGGACAATATTTGTCCCCAAAACATTTGTTGAATAATTCATCTATAATGCATGAGTCTTGGCATTAGGCCATTCTAGCATTGCTATAAAGAAATACCTGCGACTGGATAATTTTTAAAGAAAAGAGGTTTAATTAGCTCATTGAGAGAGAGAGAGAGAGGGAGGAGGGGTTAGAGGTCAGGTGGCGGCATAGATCTTCTGGGAACTCACTATCACAAAGACAGCACCAAGCCATGAGGGATCCACCCCCAGGACCCAAATACCTCCCACCCCGCCCCACCTCCAGCATTGGAAGTTACGATTCAATATGAGATTTAGGTGGGGACAAATATTCAGACTATCAGGTCTATTCAAGACCTTTTCTAGTGGATTATTTTTTTTGTTTATTTTAGAATCTGGTAAGGGAAGTCTCCCTTCAATTGTCTTGGCTATATTTTTCTTTTATTCTTCCAGACAAAATTCAGAATTTGTTATGAGATAACACTCTTAAAAAAAATCTTGCTGAGATTTTGGGAATATTTACATTAAATTAACAAATAAATTTGGGATTATTAGCATCTTTTCATTATGGATTTTTCTATGCATTATGTATATGTGTCATTCAGATTGTATATTTCACAATGATTATAACAATATTGATTAACATTTATTATATACTATGTGCCTGGCACTGTGCTAAATCTTTGATATTTATTGTCATATAATCCTCAAAACAAATCTGTGACATAGGTAATATTATCCCTGTTACATGAATGGAACATAAACACCCTTAAGCATTTAATGTTGTACTGCAGTGAGGGAAATGTTGTCTTGGCTAGCACAGGTTCATGAGTATAAGATAAATATACAAAAATGAAAGGTGTTTGTAATTTATAGCTGCAAGAACATTCCAACAGGGCCAAAAACTACAAAGTATTTAAATATATATGTACACACACATATTGTTATTGACACATAATTATACATGTTACAGGGTACAGTATATTTTAGTACATGTGTCATGATCAAATGGGGGTAATTAGCATATCCATCATCTCAAATCTTTTTCATTTCTTTGTATTAGTGACATTCAAAATCCTCTCTTCTAGCTATTTGAAAAAATACAACAAATTTTTTTGACTGTAGTTGCCCTACAGTGCTATCTAGAACACTAGAACTTATTCCTCCTGTTTAACTATAATTTTGTATTGGACAATCAATCTCTTTCTATTCCTCTTCCTTGCTACCCTTCCCAGTCTCTGCTAACCACTATTTTTCTACTTCAGTGAGATCAACATCTTTAGCTTCAACATACAAGTGAAAATGTGGTATTTATCTGTCTGTGCCTAGCTTATTTCGCTTAACACAGTGTCCTCCTGGCTCATCCATATTGCCGTGATTGACAGGATTTCATTCATTTTTATGGTGGAATAGTATCCCCTCGTTAAACTATGTTTAAGTTAAATGTACAAGACCTCTAAAGAGGAGAAAAGTAGATGGTTAAGAGCTTAAGCATATGACTGAAGTCGGGGTAGCTGAGTTCAAATCCCAGCTCTATTGGTTAATAGTTGTGTGACTTTTGACATGTTACTTAATCTCTCTGTGTCAGTTTTGTCTGTAAAATATAGATAGCTAGATACTGCCACATTATTGTGTGCTTTTTTTGGTAGTTTTTTTTTTTTTTTTTTTTAATTTGAGACAGAGTCTCACTCTGTTGCTCAGGCTGGAGTGCAGTGACGCGATCTTGGCTCACCGCAACCTCCACCTCCCCGTTTCAAGTGATTCTTCTGCCTCAGCCTCCCGAGTAGCTGGGATTACAGGCACCCACCACCATGCCTGGGTAATTTTTTGTATTTTTAGTAGAGATGGAATTTCACTATGTTAGCCAGCATGGTCTTGATCTCCTGATCTCATGATCTGCCTGCTTCAGCCTCCCAAAGTGCTGGGATTACAGGTGTGAGCCACTGCGCCTGGCCCTTGTTAGTTTGTTTTTTGAGAGCGAGTCTCACTCAGGTTGGAGTGCGGTGCCACAATATTGGCTTACTGCAACCTCTGCCTCCTGGGTTCAAGCAGCTCTCCTGCCTCAGCCTCTCAAGTAGCTGGAATTACAGGTGCCTGTCACGATGCCTTGCTACTTTTTGTATTTTTAGAAGAGATGAGGTTTTATCATGTTGGCCAGCCTGGTCTCGAACACCTGACCTGGAGTGATCCACCTGCCTTGGCCTCCCAAAGTGCTGGGATTACAGGTATAAGCCACCGCTCCTGGTCCCTAAATTGTTATTTGTTAATCAAGATTATGTACTTCATCAGCAGTGTATGAGCACTATTTCTTTACATTCTCTCAGAAGCTATTTTAAACCCAGAAGGAAGCACAGAAAGAATAAAGATTGCCATCAAACCTTACAAATTAGGGCTGAGGCTCAGAAAGAGATAATGTTATATCCAGCGTCATATAGGGAGATCATAACAGAGTCAAATCTGGAACTTAGACTTTTTGAACTCACTCCTAGGGCTCTTTTCACTGAGTGTAGAATTCACAAATTCACCAGACATTTATTTTTTATTTTTTGAAACAGAGTCTCTGTTGTCCAGGCTGGAGTGCAGTGGTGTGATCACAGCTCACTGCAGCCTCGGCTTCTTGGGCTCAGGTGATTCTCCCACCTCAGCATCTCAAGTAGCTGGGACTATAGGTGCATGCCATTACCCCTGGCTAATTTTTGCATTTTTTTGTAGGGACAGGATTTTTCCACATTGCCCAGACTGGTCTTGAACTCCTGGGTTCAAGTGATCAGCCTCCCAAAGTGTTGGCATTGCAGACGTGAGCCGCTGTGCCTGGGCTTTACCAAACATTTAATGAGCATTTACCATGTATGAAACTTTCGTGTTTGATGCTTGACTTCTATGACATTGTAAAATCCTTACCGCTCTAACATAAATTGTTTATCTCTTTATCTCCATTTTATAGCTAAGCAAATACAATCAGAAAGGTTAAATAACTTTCCTAAGGTCACACAACCAGAATATGGCAGGGTAGGATTGGAACTCAGGTCTATCTTTATTTCTGAGCCCCATCTTCTTTATACCATGCCTCAAATATAGCCATTTCAGTTGTTTTGTCTTTCTCCTTGTTCACTAACCTTTCTGAAACTTTCATAATGTTCTGGAGTTAGTCACACTCCTCATCCTGTTTTGACTTCCTGGACAAACTCCAATTTGTTGGGAAACTGTGGCAAGTCCTCTGGCAGCTCAATGAAGTGGTTGTCAATGTCCACAAAGCAGAGGTTAGCCTGGAAGTCTCTGAGATTCTTATGGCATTTGGAATTCCCCCTGAAGGGAATCTTCATTGCAGTGAGAGTGCCTCCAAGCTGAAGAGGCTTCGGGCCTCTGAGCTTGTCTCAGACAAGAGGAATGGAAACATTGCTGGCTCCCCTTTGCATCCCTATGAGCTTCTTAAGGAGAACGAAACTATTGCCCGGCTCCAAGCCTTGGTCAAGAGGACTGGGGTGAGCCTGGAAAAGGTAAGATGTGTATATGAGTCTGTGTGATCTGTGCTAGGGTGCTGTCCTGGTGAAGTAAGGTATGGGATGAGAAAGCACCCAGTTCTAGACAACTCATATTTTTGAGCAGTGAAAGAATGCTCTGTATGGAGGACTCTGAATTCCATCTGGCAGATGTTATCCTAGTAAATGCTACTTTAATCTAAATCTGGGTAACTTCTTTCTTGAACATCAAGGAGAGTCAGCAGACATTCTTTGTGAACACTACAGCAGAGTGATTGGAGAGAGCATGGTAGTAATTTTACTGTTCAGACCTCTTTTATTTTTTGAGAGAGTTCTTACTCTGGCACTTGGGCTGGTATATGGTGGCACAGTCACCGCACACTGCAGCCTCGATCTCCTGGGCTCAGGTGATCCTCCTGCTTCAGCCTCCCAAGTAGCTGGGACCACAGGTACATGCCACCACACCCAGTTAATTTTTTTTTTTTTTTAATTACTTGTAGAGACAGGGTCTCACTATGTTGCCAAGCTAATCTCAAACTCTTGGGCTTGAGCAGGCCGCCACCCCTGACCTCCCAAAGTGGTGGGATTACAAGTGTGAGCCACCACTCGAGGCCCAGACCTCTTTTAGACCCTTTGAACTTCACAGCAACCTAAGGCATATAAAACATGTATTAACTGTTTTATAGCCAAACAGACCAAGGCTCAGAGAGCCTAAGTGTTTTGCTTAAGATTAAATGCCAAGTATGTTGCTGAGCTGGGAATAGAATCTGGTCCTCTTGAGTTCTCACTGTTAAATTACTTTTGTAAGTTACAGGTAAACCAACGGGTCAGTGTAATAATCTTATTGGGCTGTTTGTTAGTGAAATATTTCATTTTTCTGCTTTAGTAGAGCAGATTTGTTTTGCTTAGTAGAGCAGATATTTTTCAAAAACCATGGGCAGTTAAAGAGGAGCAGAGATATTTGGTGAGATTAAAAAGGTTTTTTGGAGGAAGAAGGAAAGATGAGGGAAAAATAAAAAATCAAGAGCCAGAATTTTTTCTAGGTTATAAGAATTGTTGCCTTGTTAAATTGACCTCCCACATTTCTTCCTTTCTCCCTGACCTTTGAGGTAATTAGCACCTCTTCTTTCATGGCAGAATCTCTCTCAGCCCATAAAGATCTTATCTGTACTTTCATTGAGTTGTTGGATATCTCTAAGTGAAACTCCATTTATCTCTCTTCCATGTCTGAGTCCCTTTCCTTTATTTTATTTTATTTTTTTCAGTTTTTCCTCTTTAATTCTCTATTTGCTGTTAAGTAAATGACTACTGGGAAAAAATCAGGAAGTGGATTCCTTGGGATAAAAGGAAAAAAGTGGTGTGTTCTCGACTGCTTTTTCTATTTTTGTAGTTGGAAGTGCGTGAAGACCCCAGATGCAATAAGGATCTCAAAGTTCAGTGTGATGAAGAAGAACTCAGGGTTTACCAGCTAAACATTCAGATCCGGGAAGTTTTTGCAAATCGTTTCACTCAGATGTTTGCAGATTATGAGGTGTTTGTCATCCAGCCCAGCCAGGATAAGGAATCCTGGTTTACCAACAGGGAGCAGATGCAAAACTTTGATAAAGTGAGTGTAATCTTGCTTGGGAGGTGGTGAGGAATGAGAACTTGCCAGTTACGTCTTGAAGAAGTAATGGAAAATGAGTTTTTCTTTTATTATATGCTGGAAACAAGTTTATTGTCCATTTGATGTTGATAAAATAGGCCTTGTTGCTTCAGAACAGATGTGCTGATTATTATTATCAGATGATTTCCCTTCAGCCAAAGGGATCTCTTAAAGCAAAGATATACGTGTAGATTGAACATCAGGATTCTGGGAAGATTGGTTGACTCAGTAGGTTATCCAAGTGAGTTTGTCCCAGTGTCAAAGTTTCAAGATATCTGAACTTATATGAATGTTTTTTTAAAAAAGTAGAGATTTTGCAGCTTGCTTTTCTGGAAGACCTAGGCAGCTCCAGAGAACAATTAACCTCCTGGATCCTTTGGCACATTGACATTACCCTTTTCCCTGTTAATTACTGCTTCTTTTTGGTCCCACCAGGCATCTTTTCTGTCAGATCAGCCTGAGCCCTACCTGCCCTTCCTCTCAAGATTCCTGGAGACCCAGATGTTTGCATCTTTCATTGACAACAAAATCATGTGTCATGATGATGATGATAAAGACCCTGTGCTCCGAGTATTTGATTCCCGAGTTGACAAGATCAGGCTGTTGAATGTTCGGACACCTACTCTCCGTACATCCATGTACCAGAAGTGTACCACTGTGGATGAAGCAGGTAAGGCCTCCTTGGAACTGTGCATTCTAGCCTGCTGTATTATGTCACTAACATGTCCCCTTTCCTGAATATGCCAGCCTCTTTTTCTGTTTCTGCCTTACGTATGTGGTTCCCATTGCCTGCAGTGTTCTTTCTTGCTTTTTTTTGCCTGGCAGTCTTCTCACCCTTTAACACTGTCAGTTAAGAATGGATCTCATTGTATGTGATAGAGACCCTAATCAGCAGTGGGTTAAACAAATAGGGGGCTATTTTTCTTATATTAGCAAGAGGTACAGAATTAGTCCTTGCATGTGTTGGCTCAGCTGCTCAACAGTGTAATCAAGAACTGAGATTCTGTCTTTTTATTTGGTGAATCCTTAGCATGTTGACTTTATGGTCATACTGTTGCTTCTATTTTTTTAAATTAAGGATTTCAATGAAAGCCTCATGGTTACAGAAGCTCTTTCTTTTCTGCCCGTGTGTGTGTCAGGGTCATGGTTACAGAAGCTCTTTCTTTTCTGCCTTTGTGTGTGTGTGTGTGTGTGTGTCTCTCTCTCTCTCTCTCCAGGCTAAAATGCAGTGGTGTGAACGTAGGTCACTACAACTTTGAACTCTTGGGCTCAAGTGATTGTCTTGCCTTAGCCCCCCAAGCAGCTAGGACTATAGACATGTACTCCTTTGCCTGGCTAGTTAAAAAAAAAGTGTTGTAGAGACAAGGTTTTGCTGTGTTGCTCAGTCTGGTCTCAAACTTTTGTGCTCAAATGATCCTCCTTCCTTGGCCTCCCAAAGTGTTGGCATTACATGCATGCATCACTACACCCAGTCCCAGAGGCTTTTCATATTCACATTCAAGGCAAGAAGAGGGGAAGATTGATGCCAGCTACATTCGCCATCCCACCTTTCTTTTTTTTTTTTTTTTTGAGATAGAGTCTTACTCTGTTGCCTAGGCTGGAGTGCAGTGGTGCGGTTATGGCCCACCACAGCCTTGACTTCCCAGGCTCAAGCAATTCTCCCACCTCAGCCTCCCAAGTAGCTGGGACTACACACACCTGGCTAATTTTTTGTGTTTTGCAGAGACAGAGTTTTGCCATGTTGCCCAGGCTGGCCTCAAACTCTTGGGCCCAAGCAGTCCTCCCACCTCTGCATTCCAAAGTGCTAGGATTACAGGTGTGAGCCACTGTGCCTGGCCTATTTTCCCACTTTTATCAGAAAGCAAAAGCTTTCCCAGAAATTTCTAACAACTTTCATTATCCTATAGGCCAGAATCATATTATATGACCACCCTCAAGTGCATGGGAGGCTGTGAAAGTGAACATTGAACTGGATATAATGTTACCCTGAACAGTATCAAGGTTCTATAAGCAAGAAAGAAGGGGTGAATAATTATGAGGAAGCAGCTGATGGTATTTGTCAGAAAAACCTAGCAGATACTTTTCCTTCTTTGTGTGAAGCCTTCTCTGATGCCCCCAGACTGAGTCAGTTGATTCTTCCTCTGTGTTCCTGTAGTGCTTTGTGCTTGCATCTACTCACTTATCTCTACTTTTACTAGCTGTCATTATTAGAGAACAACTTAAGGGTGGAGACTGTATTTACTCATTTTTCCCCCCAATTCTTCTAGCATTGTGTCAGCATGTAGGGATGTTTTTATCTTCACAAATGATTGAACACATCCTTTTGTTTAGAGGGCTCATCCATATCAGCTTAGCTAGAGAATAGTTTCAGCTCGAAATGTTAGATTAAGTAGTGTGTTTACTTCCTGCGGGATGTTCAGTGTCCTTTTTAAGGCATTTTAATATATTTTAATTATTTATTTACTGCATTTTATAACTACCTACTAAATGCCAAACATATGGCAAGTCTTCAAGAAATATTTGTCAAATGAATGAATATGCCAGTCGCTAGACTTTGAAGATATAACTGGTAACAGTTTAGACAAAGTCTTACATTCCCTTACACTTTCTCGTCTCTCTTTACCTTTCTGCTCCTGTTGCAGGACCCTCATTAAGATGACAGTCCTTTTGGTAAAGGCTTGAGGACATGTTGTCCATGCAGTTAGACTACTTTAACTCAGTTAGAACATAGGTTCCTGAACCCTGCCTAAGGCCTTGGATCTGGTCAGCTTGATGGAGATTTTTACAGGACTCTGGTTTAAAGAACCATCTCCCAAACCATTGTTTAAATCAAGACTTCTTATTCTTTTTCATCTTGTGCTATACTTGAAAATGATAATATTTGTATACGGCACACTAGGAAGAGTCTGCTTGTAGCCAGAGGCTATAAAGCCAGAGGCTCTAGTCACTTGAAATTCTTACATCTGCCACAGGGGTTGAGGAGTCTCAGCCCATCCTTAATTTATTTCTTGAACACTAAACGCTGCAGCCTACAGATATCAAGTACTGTGATCTCACTTGTAGCCATTACATAGTCTAACGGACCTCTTAGAATATGGTGTTTGGAGGCTGGTCATAGGTGGCTCACGCCTGTAATCCTAACATTTTGGGAAGCTGAGGTGGGTGGATCACTTGAGGTCAGGAGTTTGAGACCAGCTTGGCCAACATGGCGAAACCCCGTCTCTACTACAAATACAAAAAAAAAAAAAAAAAAAAAAAGCTGGGCGTGGTGGTGCACACCTGTGGTCCCAGCTACTTGGGAGGCTGAGGCAGGATAACTGCTTGAACCTGAGAGGCAGAGCAGTGAGCTGAGGTTGTGCCACTGCACTTCAGCCTGGGTGACGGCAAGACTCTGTCTGGAAAAAAAAAAGAAAGAAGAGGGAGAATATGGGGTTTGGAATGTAGGAGGAAGGGTTAGCTAAGTCTCATTCATATGGCTCATTTCAGAAAAATGGGTATCACAGAGACTCTTAACACTACTGTATGGTCTGCACCCAGGAATCATGGGAATATCTTTGCTATTGGTATATCCCTTAGATATACACCAGAAGCATGTACTTCAAGTATACCAAATCAGGGTTCTTGCAACTGGCCCCAGAACCCTAGCCTAGAGGAGTAGTTCAACCATCTTATCCCATCCCATATTGGACATCTCAACTTCTTTAGCCAGTCTGATTGTAAAATCATGCTAACATAACTATAAAGGGATTTTGGAGATCCTTTAAAAATGTTACAATAAAAAACAGTGAAATGTTACAATTAGAAGAGATGTTGATGGCAATTGACTCTGCCCACCCACCTCACCCACCAGTTTTACAGATAAAAATGTTCCTTTGGTTCACAACTGTATCCACAATGCCTGGCACATTTTGGACATTTAATAAGTTCTGTTGAATGAAAGTAAAGATTCGGGGAAGTGAGGGAGGCTCAAAGACATGACTTGACAACCTAAGATACACAGCAAGGCCTAAAGACAGATGTTTTTACGTGACTCTGGAAAATACCAGGAGAGAGCCGGATGTGGTGGCTCACACCTGTAATCCCAACAATTTGGGAGGCTGAGGCAGGTGGATTGCTTGAGTTTCAGAGTTTGAGACTAGCCTGGGCAACATGGCAAAACCCTGTTTCTTCAAAAAATAGAAAAACTAGCTGGGTGTGGTAGCATGAACCTGTAGTCCCACCTACTTGGGAGGCTGAGGTGATAGTTTTGCTTGAACCCAGGAGGTCAAGGCCACAGAGAGCTATGATTGTGCCACTGTATTCCTCCAGCTTGGACAACAGCGTGAGACCCTGTTTCAAAAAACAGAGAGAGAGAGAGAGAGAAAGAAAGAAAGAAAAAGGATAGTTTTCAGACTCATGAGAGAGAAGAGAGAAAGAAAAGAAAAAAAAGAAAGCTGGGTGTTGTAGCTCACGCCTATAATCTCAGTACTCTGGAGGCCAAGGTGGATGGATCACCTGAGGTCAGAAGTTCAAGACCAGCCTGGCCAACCTGATGAAATCCCATTTCTTGTAAAAATACAAGAAGTTAGCTGGGTGTGGTGGTGGGCGCTTGTAATCCCAGCTGGGACAGGAGAATCACTTGAACCTGGGAGGCAGAGGTTGCAGTGAGCTGAGATTGCTCCATTGCACTCCAGCCTGGGCAGCAAGAGGAAAACGCCATCTCAAAAAAAAAACAAAAAAACAAAAACAAAAACATAAAGAGCGGAAGGGCGGAGGGAGTTTTCTTATGCCCCTTTGTGTAATACCTTCTTCCTGTTCTCTCCCCACTCCCTTCTCCAATCCCCAGGCAACCACTGATACAATTTTTGTTACCACAGAGTTTGCCTTTCCAAGAATTTTACGTAAATAGAATCATAGTATGGTACTTTTTTTTAAAGTCTGGATTCTTTTACCCAGCATAATTATTTTTATATTCATTCATGTTCCTTTTTATTGCGGAATAGTATTCCATTGTATGAATATTACCACAGTGCATCTATTTAACTATTGGTGGGCATTTGGTCTGTGAATATTTGTGTGCAAATACTTTGTATAGACGTAAGTTTTCTTTTTCCTTGGGTAATACCTAGGAGTGGAATGACTGGATTATATGATATCTGTATGTTATTATTATTTTTTTTTTGAGACGGAGTTTCACTCATGTTACCCAGGCTGGAGTGCAATGGCGCGATCTCGGCTCACCGCAACCTCTGCCTCCTGGGTTCAGGCAATTCTCCTGCCTCAGCCTCCTGAGTAGCCAGGATTACAGGCACGCACCACCATGCCCAGCTAATTTTTTGTATTTTTAGTAGAGACGGGGTTTCACCATGTTGACCAGGATGGTCTCGATCTCTTGACCTCGTGATCCACCCGCCTCGGCCTCCCAAAGTGCTGGGGTTACAGGCTTGAGCCACTGCGCCCGGCCCTGTATGTTATTATTATTATTATTTTTTTGAGATGGTGTCTTGTTCTGTTGCCCAGGCTGGAGTGTAGTGGTGTGATCTTAGCTCACTGCAACTTCCTCCTCTTGGGTTCAAGCAATTCTGTGCCTCAGCCTCCTGAGTGGCTGGGATTACAGGTGCCCACCACCACGCCTGGCTAATTTTTGTATTTTCAGTAGAGACAGGGTTTTGCCATGTTGGCCAGGCTGGT